GTGTGTTGTTATTTTTGAGGATAAGGTTGGCCGTCTTAAATTTTTATAATAGATAATAAGTTTGATTTTTTTATCCGGGTCAATAGGAGTAGTATATTTCTTTATAATATGTCTTAGAGCAGATTCATCTTGCTTGTAATTAATATGCATTTGGTTTTTGTAATAAATGTATATGTGATTTTTTAGTTGTGTGTTCGCTATCATTATTACTTGCTTTGGGGAGGAATATTCTAATTTGTTGGTCTATAAGGTAGTTAGGAAACCGTTGTTAATTAGTGTTTGTTTAACGTTGTTAAGTTCTTTCAATTATGAACAAAGCCACAATGTGCTAACCGTATTCGGAAACTAAAACATCACTACCACACACTGAACATACATAGAACACACACTCTACTAAAGCTGATAATGAACCATCCTTGATAATGGCTAAAGGTATAGCCAAAGCGCTCGAAAACACAGAACATTCGGACAGTTCTTACACACTCTTTGTCCAGAAAAAGAAAGCTCTTGTCAGAACACAAGAAAAATTAAATAAAAGCTCAACTGTAGTACCTTGTCTGTCGTTTTTTTAATGAAACATGCATATATATATATATATATATATATATATATATATATATATATATATATATATATATATATATATAGTCTATTTTCGCAGCAATTCCTCTTTTATGCAATTTCCGTTGAAAACGACTGACAAGTTGATGTGCTTGATTTTTTGATATAATTTCTCATGTATTCATAGAATCTTCCTCTTTTTAGGACATACATTCTATAGAAATTATCCAAATGTTTTCCAAGCGCTTTCGGCTATATTTTAAAGATTAATAAGGGTTACTTTTACATTTAACTGAATATATGGATTGGTTTATGTATGCATCTACAGTTATAGGAATCTTCCAAATAGTGTGCTGACCTTGTTTGAAAAATAAAACTTTTTTCAAATATAGCCCTCTGAAAGTAAAGACAACAGAAGGATGCTAAATGTAGTTAATGTCAGTATTTATATATGGATTAGCGAATTAAATATATGAAATTTAACTCCCGATAAACGTTACAAATGAAATCATATTTGAAACTTGGAGCTTTCCAAAGAAGATTTCTAACTCCCGCACACACAGCATATTTTTTTCATGAAAATGATCGAGATATTCGAAAGTATTTGAACAGTAATATGAACTTCGGACAGTTTATCCACGATTTCGACAACAATACTAACCCCCTTTTCCTTTTCTATTTATATATATATATATATATATGTGTGTGTGTGTGTGTGTGTGTATGTGTGTTTGTTTGTGTGTGTATTTGTGTGTGTGTGTGTGTGTGCGGGCGTGTGCGCACGCGCGTGTGTGTGTGTATGTCAAACGTTTTAGCATTGACAAGCTCCAGGGAATTTATCCCAAGGAGGGAAATGACCATGTTGTTGTGAATTCGCAACGTATAATGGTATGAATACCATCTTAAAAGGAAAGAAAAATGTTGGGTTTGCACAGATAGGAACGCACGAACAGATACCGAAGAAGAACAAACGCAAGATTAATATTTATAAATACATTTTATATAGCAAAATATGAGAAACGTATGGAGTGACAGACGTACAATCAATAAAAAAAAAAAAAAAAAACACTTAACTGATATTGGATGTCAGTTCAAACGTTTGTACTTCAGGAATTTTTTTGCCTTGTTTAAATGTGTTGCATCAGGGATGGATCTAAAATGTTTTCTTTGTATCCATTTGGACACCATATTTCTTTTTTCTTTACCCATTAAATAGTCAAATAGACCCAAGATGCCCAGGACGAAACTTCCTTATTCCCAACACAAAAAGTAATGGAAAATTTTTAGGGTTTATTTTTCATCACTGACGATCGCATTATGAAAATCTATTTTTTTCACGAACTGTTGTTGTTGGAGGTCATCGGGAAACTAAAGTTACAATAACTGAATCCCACTTTGTGATGTATGTAACGTGAGCGTAGTGGACCGATTCTTTCTCCCTTTGTTAGGAGTTTATTCTGTTTGTTGTCAAGCAAGTCTACATTACATTCCAACCAGTTCTTAGGGAATCAATTTTTTTGTCAAATTCCTTTCCTGGCCTTTCTTCGTCGAAACAAAACGTAAAAGAAAAATATAAGAAAGGAAAGAGGACAGGCAGAAATACAAAGATTGCTCAGCTCTTATTGAATTGAGTGTACGTTTGATTTAACAGTTATCATTTAGGCCATATCATAATATCAATATTCACAGATGGAGTGAATTTGTAGAAGAGACAAAATGAATAAAAGGAGACGACAGGAAAAATATTCTTAGCGTTTCGTACTTTGAGTGTCTTTATCAGGCCAATCAAGGATTTATTATGTTGCACGTGTTTATATACACAGAGGCGAGAATTTTATTTGTTTATCAAGGCTTGTAATTTTGACAACATTCATTAATGTTCATCGGGTGGTTGAAAGGTCAGTGAAAGCATGTGGAGGGTACAAAGTGACCTAATTCAAAGCCTGGTAGAAAGTTAAATGAGCAATTAATATTCATTAGTTTATTTATTGTATTTTTTAAAATGAATATTGCTTGGAGTTTCATTATATTGTTATGATCTGCGATGAACGTCTGTACTGTAAAACTTTAAAGTCTGAAGTGATGGAATTAATTGTTTTCTTTGATTTTTCAACATATTTGTTGTTGTGTTTGTTGGCTTGGGAAAGTAGTAATTTTTTCAGGAAAGGTGAAATTGGGAAAAACCGGGCCATAGATTTATATTTTGATAATACACGATACTGGCACTCTCCAGGATTTTCTTTTTGAGTAAATTATTTTCTCTTTTGATGAGTATGGCATTTTGTATTCTAAAATTTATTACTGTGCATGACTAATGCATTTGTTAAATGTTTATTTATGAAGCTCCTTTTTGTGTTCATAAATACGTTTTCTTAAATTTCTGTATATTTTCCTAATGTATTGTGAGGAATAGTTTTAGCAATTTATTTTATATATGCCCGATTCTGAATTACAATTGTTATGGATATTTTTACTTCTGATTATATTCATAATGGTTTTGGAAGCAGTTATGTCTATTTCGATGTTCTTTAGATGGGATAAGTTGTTTTGGACAGTGGATGTTATGGATTTGGTAGGTAATATTATATATGTTTTTGCTTAATTTATTAGTGTGGAAAAGTTTGTTATTTTTGTTACGGTCGGGTATTTCTGTACCTTTCTCTTTGCGTTTTGGATGAAGTGATAAGAATAGTGGAGGATTTTGAATGCGTTTTCTATGTATTTTTCTTCTTTTGCGTAGGTACTGGGGGCTGCAATTTCTTTAAACTCTTAAGCAGAAACGTATAATTATATGCGTTTTAATTTTATAGGAGTGGTCTGAGTATAAGTTGACCAGGTCGTTTTTGTTGATAGCTTTTCAGTAAACGTCAAAGTTCAATTCTGTATCGTTGCTGTGTAACATGTTATCTCTGAAGGGTATAATTGGCTTCAGGTTCAACAGTGAAGTCCATTGTATTTTCGTCGCTGTTAAGTTGGTTGACAAGGTCTGTTAAAAATAATGTTTTTTGCATATATTAGTAGAGAGTCGTCGTTGTATCTGAAATAAGAAGACTTTGGTGGTAGAATTTTTTTCTGAAAGGGCCACTTCAGTAGGAAAATCCTTGAGAGTGACGACATCATTACAAAAATATGAATCGCCGCCCGGTTGTATCACAATCTCACATTTTCTGAAATAATTACTACCTTCCCAAACCAACATACACAACAACAAATATTTGAAAAATCAAAAGAAAAAGTTAAAATCTATAACTTCAGATTTGAAAACGTACAACACAGACATGCATCTCATACCATGACAATATAATCACACTACAAAAAATATTCATTTAAAAAATACATTATTCAATATTTCTCGCTCACTTTACTTTTCACCAGCCTTTGAATTAGGACACGTTGTTTCATTAACATGCTTTGACTGACCTTTAGAAAACACACGATGAACGTTCTCAAATTTACAAGTATTGAGAAACCAGTGATACCCTCGACTCTGTGTATATAAACCAGTGAAGCGTAATCCTATACTACTTGGTTAAAGTCCCTCATAGGACTGAACACATCGGCTAAGTATAGTTTTCGTCTTGTCGCTTTTTTATTCATATATATATATATATATATATATATATATATATATATATATATATATATATATATATATATATATATATATGGTAAAGAAATTAGTTTTTAAACGGATATTGCATAAAAGTATCAATGTTACTGAATAATAAATAAATATATAGAAAACCCAGCGGAATATTAACAAAGAAAAAAGCTTTTACCGTAACAGAGAAACCAGAAGATTTATTAAAAATGAACAGTTACTCTCTCTCTCTTCTCTCTCTCTCTCTCTCTTTTCTCTGATAACCCCCTGACAAGTGGATGTAGTGATACCGGAAGGTGCCGTCTACGAAACACTGGAGTCGTGATGCTCAAGGTAACATCAATTTGCTAAGTGACAAAACTGTGGCTGGTATTAATTATATATATATATATATATATATATATATATATATATATATATATATATATATATATATATAGTGTAGGCTATTATAGAGGAGTTTTATTTTTGTTTGCTTTTCGATTCATAGTTAGCAACTCAAAAAATAATGTTTATTGTCAGTACAACATAAATTTCGAAGAGTGGAGTATTTTTGTTTTGGTCTTTAAAACATTTGATTACTAAATGGTATGAATATACAATTCTAAAAAAGATATTTGTTTTGAAAAGGGAAAAAAATGTTTAAATGATTTTTTTTTCCAATCGTGAAAATATTGCAAGATAATTGAAATAAGAGAAAGAGTAAAATGGAAGAGGCTGCCTAAAGAAATATAGTAGGTTAGATATTTGAATAAAAAGAAGGAAATGATGAAGAAAAACGGGAAGACTAAACTAATAATGAAAATAATAATAATAATAAATAGAAAGAAATAAAAACAGAAAGAAAATCAGAAAGAAAGAAAGAAAGAAAGAAAGAAAGAAAGAAAGAAAGAAAGAAAGAAAGAAAAAGAAAGGATAACAGGAAGGAAGGAAGGAAGGAAGGAAGGAAGGAAAAGAAAAAGCAAGACAGAAATAAAGAAAGAAAGGAAACAAGAAAGAAAAACAGAAAGAAAGAAAAACAGAAAGAAAGAAAGAAAGAAAGAAAGGAAAAAAGAAAGAAACAAAAACAGAAAGAAAGAAAGAAAAAAGAAAGAAAGAAAGGAAACAAGAAAGAAAGAAAGAAAGAATAAAGAAAGAAAGGAAACAAGAAAGAAAGAAAGAAAGGAAACAAGAAAGAAAGAAAGGAAACAAGAAAGAAAGAATGAAAGAAAAAGAAAGAAAGGAAACAAGAAAGAAAGAAAGAAAGAAAGAAAGAAAGAAAGAAAAAGAAAGGAAGGAAACAAGAAAGAAAGAAAAAAGAAAGAAAGAAAGGAAGGAAAAAAGAAAGAAAGAAAGAAAGAAAGAAAGAAAGAAAGAAAAAATACAAACAAAGAAGACACAATAGTAAAAAATGAAATGATTAAAAACTAAAAGTCCGAATAGATTATATTTGGAGTTGTTGGTTATTGTTATTATTTTTTTAATCTAAAAGCATTTTTCATTGGTATGGTGTTTAGTTAATTAGAGAAAATAGTCTAAATCATGTCGATGTCAATTCTTTACAGAGATGGTAACGATGTATATAGTAAACAAAAAAAAAAAGAAAACATTAACCGGACTGTCATAAAGTATCCGCTGCTATTGCTACTACTTTTGCTGTTGGTGATGATGATGGCAATTATTAAAATGAATTCTGACGATCTCAATATAAACATTTCCTTGAATAAGAAGAACACGGACAAGTAGAATGAGAGAAAGAAAACAACGACGACGACGACACCGATGATGATTCTGATGCGAAGGTCGTCACGAATGCCGGAATATTAATATGAAAATACTCACAAGAAGAAGAAGAAAAAATATATGATGATGATGATGGGTGTGTAGTGGCCCGTGGGTCATTGTTCCTTAGGCAGTTTTGCTTAACTGGCGTAGTCAGTACCGGGATGAGGTGTTCAGAATGAAATAAGCCGGGCGCATATGTCTGCAGGCCTTTCATGTAAATCATTTAAATCTTTGCAAATGCCCGAGGCAAAGACAGGTGCATAAAGTGAAGGGATTCCGAGCACTCCCTTTTTACTAGGTGTGTGTCCAGAAAATAGGTTGACTGGCATGTGGGACATTGGGGTGAGAGGTGAATGTAAAACTATCGCCCTCACACAAATATTAACCACCCCAATCTCTTCTGGATTGATCACGGAGAGTTACGTAAACATAAAAAATCAATTCTTCTGGTGTCTGCACGTTTATTCATATATAAAGCCTCATCTCTTCTTCAATGTCTCTATCCATCTCTCTATCTTCTCTCTTTCCATTTCTCTCCCTCTTTCTGTATATATATATATATATATATATATATATATATATATGAAATGGACAAAGTTCGACAATTGTTTTAATAATGTCTGTTTATACATTATTTATATATATATATATATATATATATATATATATATATATATATATATATTTATCTATATATCTATCTATCTATCTATATATATATATATATATATATATATATATATATATATATATATATATATATATAGAAAATATATGTCCTCCGATAGGAATTGAAACTGTATCCTACACGCAACCGTCATATAGCTTGGCGTTCTATACTATTTAGCTACAGAGGGAGCGCCTGATATAGAACATCAGGCTATATGACGCTTCCGTGTAGGATACAGTTTCGATTACTTTCGGTGGACACATATTTTCTATGAAATTTCTCGGAAATTAATCCGGGTAAAATGTTGTTCATACAATTTATTAATAAAACACCATGAACTTAAATATTTGTATCTATAAAAACAATATATATATATATGGAAGAAGAAGAAGAAGAAGAAGAAGAAGAAGAAGAAGAAGAAGAAGAAAATAATGGTGATGTTGTTGATGATGATGCTGATGATGGGTATATATATATATATATATATATATATATATATATATATATATATATATATATATATATATATATATATATAATTATTTATTTAAAAATATGATTTGGAATCATATTTTTAAATAAATAATTATATTTGTGCTCTACTTTTATCGAGCACTATTTTTAAAAATAATAACTAAAATACTAAGGGACTTTGGATTATTTACCTAACCAGTTGCTTCCTATTTTCTATATATTTTCACATATTATATATATATATATATATATATATATATATATATATATATATATATATATATATATATATATATATAACTACTATAACTTAGTTAATCGAGGACACGTTTTTGAGTGTCGTCATGGTTCCTCTCATCAATCAGAGTCATAGAAAAAAGTGTCAATAGTTAATCCGTCCTCAAAGCAACAGAACAGTCGCTCTCTCATATAACCCATATTATGGTAGGGTGAAGAGATAAATTCCTCCATTTCATGGTGGTTAGTTGCATGCATGTCAACGTAACGAATTCGACTGGTATCTCTATCCGATTTACTAATCATTACACGACCTACACAGTCATTTTTTCTCGTACACTGACTTTCAATATGAAAACTTCATAACTGATGAGTTTCGACCAAATTTTGATACAGCAAGCAAATTTTATTTTACGGAAATACGCCTTCAGGTTATAGAAAATCATAATTGTCAACAGGTTCCTTCTATTATCTGCGAATTATTGTGCTTTCTGTAAGGGATAGTGGAGTGGTTTCCAGTTGCCTTCTTTATGTTTTGAAATTCATAGGAATCTAATATAAGCTACCACCTAAGGCCACACTGTCTACCCTGTTTAGATTTCGATCGAAGAAGGCATGAATGCGTTGCCTATCCCAATAACATTATTCTGAAAGTAAAAGCAACAGACGAGTTCTTAAATTGAACTCACTTCACTCGTCTCATTTTCAGTCGCGTCTAAAATTTCGCAACTAATCCTAATGCAAGTAACTGGCCGTTTTGAATGAGGAAATAGAAGAGGAAATACCGCTAACCTGCCGTGAAATTAGCAGACGATAGATGGTAACATAGCTGTTGGTTTTGTAATGGCGACACGGCATACGATCATAGATTCGTAATTGAAATTTATCCATTGAGAAATATATCCTCCAGACCAAAGTCATGTGTATTTTAATGTAACAGTTCTTGTCTGGTCTGCGATGGCAACAAGTTGTTCATATCGAAAACATTTTGATAGATTTCATTGAATCAAAACTGAAATCGTGCTGTTAATACTAAGTTGCATAATTCAGCGTAAACATGGCACACGTCAATAAAATATCAGCAAACTTTTTTTATTGGATAATTATGATTCTCGAAGTTTATATGACTGGGATATTTTGGCAATATTTTTTTTCAAAATACTCTATCATCCTATTTAATATATTATTTATGAATGTGCATTTATTTATGGCGTGTATTTTTCCGGTGTATATATTTATATATTTCTTGTCCCACCTGCAGTGGGAAACGATGTAAATCAACTTCAGTTAGAAACATTCTTCCGTTAATTGTTTTAATATTTATATATATTCAGACAAAATCAATTCCCAAGTAAAATGAACCGTTTAATTAATCGCTTCTTCACTTCTACGTTTCTTAGATTGCAGTCTTATTTGTTCAAGCTTTTCACGTGAGTTACTAAGATACATTTGCCTTTTAAGTAACCTTTTTGCTACAACTTGATATTGAAATAGGCTTTGTCGTCGCTGACTTTTCCATCACCGTCTTTCGCTAATCATTTCACTGTTATAGTAAACACTAAATTATTTAACATGAAAAGATATTGAGCAAAACTTATATACCAGGCTCATTCAGGGAATCATAGACAGAATTAAACATTTAAAAATATAAAAGCAACGGATTAATTAAACTTTTCATTGGCTTCTGTTTTATTTATGAATTTTCTCCGCTTTATAGAATGTCAATAAATTGTTTCAAGACGTTTGCATCTCACTATTAAAATGTTCTAACAATTGTTGTCATTTTTGACGGCACAAGTACATTTGATTATAATAGTTGATTATAATAGTTGATTATAATATTTATTACGCATTTAATTTTCAGAAAATGAGCAAGCTTTTTTTAAGGGACTAAATATATACATATTTTTGAAAAAAGCATATTAATTTGATTCTGTAAACCTTGGCCATCGTTAATTGATTTGACTGAAGACTAGTGGGTATTATTAAATAATGATTTACAATTCTTCCATCATTTATTCAGGAATTGAGTCTCAATGTCGAATTATAAACTAAAATTTTACGTTTACTACTTACAAAGATTCATGAGGTTACATATTTCCTCGCCTGCAAATAAAACTAGAAGAACAAGCCAAAGATAATACTACGTCTACATGATGACTTCTAGCAGAGAAAAAAGACGAAAACAGTGACAACATTGTTCAAAGAATACCTAATTCCATCGTGCCGTTATATTTCATGTATGATGATGTCACAAAATATTAAATTAAGAAACGTATCACTTACGTTCTAATACATTTGGATGAGGTATGGAGCCTCTTCTCCTCCTCACAGCTATGCGTAAATAGCAGAAAGGACCGGGTTCTATAGCTTTGGATGGCAACTAGTCTAACGCAGAAAGAAATGGTAACCTACCGCGGGAACCAAAAATCTGCCTCGTCAGACATGTATCAAAAGATACATGATCGTCTGATTGATCACTTGTTTATTTCGCAGTTTCCTTATTGTAATAATATAAATGATGTCATATTTAATTTTCTATATATTCTGTACGTAATTAAATGTTAACATAAAGTTTTTTTTAGTAACTTTCACGATTTTTACCGGTTTTGAAGTACATATTCCTGGACATTTGTTCCCGCTTTTTAAGGGTTATACATACTTTGCTACTAAATAAACAAACCATGTCAATGTTTTAAAATTATTATTTATGGAATAGAGAATTAGCGTGAGCCTATGTTGTAAAGTCCAGTACGAAAATAAATATATAATATTTACTACGAAAATAAATAATTCGGTGATTGTGTGTGCAAAGTAGGAAAAGTCCTGTGATACTTCCAATCGCTAAATATCAAAGTACACAGTAGGAGTAAACGATGCAAAAGAAATCAGACGAAAAACTGCAAAAACGTGATAAAAATTATAAAAAGGTGTGAAACACTGGGTCTGGAAAGTAGATATATAATGAATGAACAACAAAAAATAAAATAAATAAAACAAAGATTATTTCATTCAAAGTGAAAAAAAACCAATAGAGATACATGTTCGAGATTCGGAAGAGGGTATTGTTCGATCAGGGCGACTGGCCTGGAACCATGGTGGGTGTTCGTTTATATATTCATGTATTCTGTCAGTAAATGTAGAGTGCTTTTTCTCTCTATATCACATTTGAGGGATAATATTGAAGCGTTACCCTGAGGCGACAGCTCAAGCCATCTTGATTGTGACACTCTCGACTGGTGCAAGTGGGAATAAAAAGAACTAGAGGCAGGGATATAGCGTCTTTGGATTTACTAAAGGGAGATTTTTATGCAACGTCACATACAAAAGTAAATTCATTTTTCTCTTCCTCCAGCCTTTCAAATACCTTTTTTTTCACTCTTAAGATATATATATATATATATATATATATATATATATATATATATATATATATATATATATATATATATATATATATCGGTCGGTGGGTTTGTGTGTGTCTCTGTGCTTGCGTGCGAGTGAGTGTGTGTATGTGTTCAATTCGATGTTTTAAAACATTTACAGAAAAAGGCAAAAATACATACATAATATTGTATATTAATGTCAGTTAATATATGTGCTAAAAATCTCTTGGTTTCATCCATTTACCAAAATCTTATCAAGTGAGCGCTCAACAGCATTTAATTCCTGAATACCATTATGGTAGATCCGAAATCATTTCAATATAATATATATATAAATATATATATATGAAACACTTCTCAATTTAGATGAGTTAAAAGTAACACACACACACACACACACACACACACACACACACACACACACACATATATATATATATATATATATATATATAT